GAACCGCCCCATGTGTTCAGCTTCTCCATCGGTATTAAACCCAACTTTTTTGTACCAATTTTTGTCTGCGAGTATTCCTCTGAATCCATTGCCTTGAGATTAGCCAACACTTGTCCGCTGAAGGCTTCGTGCACTTCGAAGACATCGATGTCTCTTAGCGTCAGATTATTCTTCTTAAGCAGTTTAGTGGTCGCGTGGGCCGGACCTAACAGCAGGTGCTCTTTGGGATCGATGGCGGCGTACGTGTAGTCTTTGATCACAATCTGCGGCTTTAAACCCAATTTCTTGGCCTTCGCTTCGGACATGAGAACAGTAGCGGAGGCGCCGTCTGTCAGGTATGAAGAGTTGGAAGCCGTGGCGGTTCCCGTCTTCGTGAACGCCGGCTTCAACTGAGCTATCTTTTCATAGGTAGTCAAACGGATCCCATTGTCTTTGTCTACAAGACTTGATTCCCAAAGTAGATATCATTTAACATACGCTACTCAATGAACAAATAGGTGTAAGTCTTACCCAACTTTCGGCACTAACATCGGCGCCACGTCTGACAGGAGACCAGCCTTTTGTGCCTTATCTGCCATTTCATGGGATCGGACGCCAAACTTGTCCTGTTCTTCGCGCGAGACATTGAATGCTTTGGTCACCCGATCGCACGACTGACCCATTGTCTCGTTTGTGGTAAACTCAGCGATTGGCGGCGCCTCGAAGCCAAACGCCATCGAAGGTCTCAGTTTGAAAAGCATTCCTGAAATGATTGGATCCATTAAAATGGTGGCAAAAGAGTTCATAATCCATACCTATTCTCTTGGAATTTCCCTTAACTTTATTCATGTCTAAGAGCCATCGCCTGAGAGCACGGGTCACACGAATTGGCGGATCAGACAATGTGTCGACACCACAACCGATGCCGCAATCGATTTCATTGGTGGCGATCAAAGAGGCCACAGAAGTGATGGCCTGATTGGCACTAATGCAGGCCATTGTCACTGAATGGGCACCAGTTTTGCTGACATCAAAACCGGCCGTTAAGACCGAATCGCGCGCTATATTCGAGTTATCCGTATGAAAGGTCTGTCCTATAGATGTGACACAGGGATCAACTATTAGTGACATCGACTCCAAGACAGGGAGGGTATGGTGTCTTACCCGCGACCACATAACTGATGTCATTTCGGCTCAAATTATCCACTTTATTGACGGATGCGATCAATACGTGTCTTAACAGTTCAAAAGCCTTGACATCTTTGAAGTGTGTGTTGGCCCTCAGGAAGGGTGTCCTCAGACCCGGCACTACCACCACTCGGTTCATGGCTTTTGATCACAAGTTCTTGTATTTAGTGTCCAAACGAGTTGTCAGACAATCGGATTGAGATGTTGTGTCAAAAAAGTTACTCAAAGTTTTGACTCAAAACTGCGAGTACTTTATATCAGATCTCAATGCACTTCATATCGCTGTTTGCGTTACCACTCAAACTGTTTGAGTCAAACATATACTGTATTTATCGCCAAATATTTAATTAAAATAAATAATTTCCTCTAAAAGCGATAACAAAATATTTATCAAAAAACTAATCACATGTTTATGAAATGCAAAAACTTTTCGCCAACTGTTGTGTAATTATAGACGTAATCGTGTCATACGTTTACATAACACACTGTTTGCAGTCATTGAAAAGTCCCTAAACTTGTTGTCAGTTTTGTTTACAAATTGTACGCAACTTTTGAATCACTGATGGTTTCACTGATGGCTAAGAAGTCTGCGCTCATCGCTATCAACGATATTTTGGATCAATTGGTGACTGAAAACCACAGACTTTTCAATGAGTGGTTGTTTGCAAACAAATTGATAACACATTTGCGTAAAATTCACTCAAAATATGAGACAATTATCACATCTGAAGACAAACAAGAGTTCAATGAGTTGTTGCGGACACAAGAAGTGAATCAAACTGATGGTCAGACTTATGACAAATACATTCAATGTTTGGATAAGCCTTTTGATGACAAAGTGGATGACAGGCCTCAAGAGTCGGACCAATCAATCGATAAAAGTGTTGCCAAACGCCAGAAGAGAGACCAGTGTTTGGACACAAGTGTTGAGTCCATTGCGAAGACCAAACCAAAGACTTCGAGATCAAAGTCATCGATAGTCGACATAAAGAAAGATGCGATCAATCGATGCAAACATCGGAAGAGACACACGAAGAGTGGAAAGAAGACACCGAAAACAGGAATTGTTATAAACGGGAGACAATTGAATGGACATCACGACGAAGAGTACATCCGTCGGGAGAAGTGCTTCTCAGCCACCACTCAGTCATACAAATGTCCAGAAAGTGAGTGTATGTCTCACTTCAAGTCCAATCAATTACTCGCTCAACACATCACTAAAACCCATTCCCAGAGGAAGTATTTCTGTGATTATCCCAAATGTCATAACAGTATTGGCTTTAAAACCAAAGGCCATCTCAATATCCATCTCAAGGCTCACTCGACTTACAAACCATTTACCTGTGATTACGAGGGCTGCGACTATACCTCTTCTTACAGATATCAACTCAACTCACATACAGTTAAACACTCAGACGTCCGGCCCTTTAAATGTCATTACGAGGGCTGCGATCAGGCTTTCAAGACTCAGGCAACACAACGCAATCATTTCCTCACTCACGAGACCGAAGCCTTCATCTGTCCTGTGATTGGATGCGATCGTAAGTTTCGGACACTGCCTCAGCTCAGGTACCACTCGTCGGTTCACACAAACCAACCGACCATTCGGTGCGCTCACAAAGACTGCGGACAATTGTTTTTCACGGATCAGATGCTTTACAAACATAGAGTGGTCGCTCATAATAAGGCCCTACGAGTAAAGGTAAAGAGGAATTACCGGTGCGAATGGCCGGGCTGTACATTCTTTGGACGCAACCTCGTTATCCACAGCCGTATCCACACGGGAGAGAAACCATACCCGTGCGAGTGGCCTGAATGTGGCAAAAGTTTTGCCTATAAAGGTCACCTCAAAGTACATATTGATATGCATTTAAAGGTCAAACCACACGCTTGTCTGTGGCCCGGGTGTACATACCGGTGCACTACGAAGGGTAACCTGAACTTACATATGAGAGTTCATCAGAAATAAATTATATAAAACATTTTGCTTGATTTTCTTAAAAAAATAAATTTAATTTAATGTTTTTAAACTTGAAATAGTGAACAGTATTTATGACATGATTTTTGTTCAATGATTGAAAAGTCCCTAAAAATGACATGAAATTTGAAATGAGTTTTTGTTTACGATTTTCATTGAGTTTTGTATTTTATTTATGAATTATAAGTGTTTTTAAAATTAGTTTAATTTGATTGCAATTTAATGATGGCTTCAATGGGAAGCGATTGCAAGTCAGTAGTGATTACTATAAACGATATTTTGGATGAATTAATGGCTGAAAACCACAGACTTTTCAATGAGTTATTGTTTGCAAACAAATTGAAAACACATTTCATTAAAATTCACTCAAAGTATGAGACAATTATCACATCCGAAGACAAACAAGAGTTCAATGAGTTGTTGCGGACTCGAGAAGTGCACCGAAAGACAACTCATCCCATGATATCAGGTGCCGGTGTTGTGGACAACAGAAGTGATGCCAACAAATGTCATACAATTGTGATCAATGGACAAGAATTAGCACATTGGCTAAGACAGCATCAAATACAAGAATCGGATCAATTGAGTGGTCGTTTCAATGAAGATCTAAATGGAGATAAGGATGAAGACTCGGATAAAGCATATGTGGCGCCGAAGAAGTCAACGAACAAAACAATCAAAAACAAGACAAATAAGCGGTTCATTGAACGCAAGAGTTGTGTGAAAACAGTTAAAACTAGATCTCAATCAAAGTCTATAAGTCTTAAGAGGTCTCCAAATTATAACATGAAGTTTAGGTGTGATTATAAGGGCTGTCAGTATAAGAGTAGCACGAAAGGTATGTTGAGTCAACACATGAGAAGTCATTCAAAAGTCGCCAAAAAGACTAAACCAAAGACTAAAAGAGTATTTCATAAGAAAGTGAAACACTCCGGAAGAAAGTGCTTCAATCCGGACACAAATTCATACATTTGTACGGAAATTAATTGTAACGAGTCTTTTACCACTCTTGATAGTCTTCGGGATCACTTGCGATCCGTGCACTCAGAAGTCAGACTTGTGTGCGAATACCCCGGATGTAACCGATCGTATAAATCGCTTAAAAATCTTAAGGTTCACCACTTAGTGCATGAAAACATCAAAGGATTTAAGTGTGAATACGATGGCTGTGGCTATAGTTGTGTCACAAAGAACTCACTGAAGTTACACGAGAAAAAGCACTCAACGTTAAGACCATTTCCCTGTAATCACAGCGGATGTGATAAGACATTTAAATCCAAATATACACTCAATAGTCACATAACACAAGTGCATAGGACAGGGGAACCGGCATTTAAGTGCACTATCGAAGGCTGTGACCGCAGTTTCACCACTAGTCTTGTATTGAGAAAACATTTGGCACTTCATTACAATGAGGCAACACTTCGGTGCGGCACCGATGGCTGCACTGACATGTTTTTGACCGATAGTCTGCTCTATAGGCACCGATTGGCCGTACATAATAAAAAGCCTTACATTAGAAATGAGCGAAAGTACCCGTGCGAATGGCCTGGATGTGACTATAAGGCCCCTTTAGCTGATCTTAAGATACACGTGACTCTCCATACGGGCGATAAGCCCTTTGTCTGTGATTGGCCCGAGTGTGGTAAACGGTTCCGATTAATCGGGACATTTAAAGATCACAAGAATATTCACACCAATACCCGCCCGTATGTCTGTCATTGGCCCGGATGTCAGTATAGTTGCAGTAATAGCGGTAATCTTGGCAAACACTACAAGCAAGTGCATCAAAAATGATTACCGTATTGTTTTATACTACAATATATGAATTTTAATTTCAGTTTTACTGTAGTATAAAATTTATTTATTTCACAAATGTTATTGAATTTTAATTTAGATATTTATTTTGTAATCAAATTCCTCATTAATGAGAATAAAATGTTTGCATAACTGATATCTCATTAAATCGTGGCCTAATAGCCGAGAAATAGGCGTTTCGTGGATAAACACCTGAATTATCGGTGGATTCACGCGAATGGGTATTTCAATGAGAGCTTTGAGTGTCATTATAGCCGCACTGGTATTTCGGATATCAATCACATCTAATGAGACACAGTTTGAAATAATAGTCGCCATACTTTTGTCTGTTAGGAGTCTCTGTCCGCGAAAATTCAATTTCTTTAAGCATTTCAATCGTTTAATATCTTCTATAATGTAGTCATTGATTGCTTGATGAAAAGTTTGTTTCAAACTACTCGCCCAGATTTCTAACGTTTCAATGGTGGGGAACTGTCTGACAATAGCACCGACAGCCTCTTTGGTCATCAATGTCTGATCGATTTGAATACTCTTCAGCTCTTTACAGGACTGCATATATTTGACACAATTGTGATTCACCGGAACAGTTGACACGATCGCGAAATAGATTTTCTGCAAAAGAGTTAGTTTTCCGATATTTGCCATCAAATGATACAATTCCTCTTCAGTGATACTATTGTCGACAGAAAATCCAAAGTAAAGAAGTGACGAAAACTTCGTGCAAATTATTTCGATTGAATTTATGTTTAGTTTAAATACATGTAAACTCTTTAAGTGCAAGTCTTGTGGCATTTTGTTGATTGCATTCAATTTGAACACATTTCCTGGTATTTCGAGTTTAGTCACACAATTAGGCATATATTTAAAGACATCTCCATTGAACTCAATACTGAATGAGTCGACGATTCCTGAATTATAAACTAATCCCCGAAAACAAGGCATATGTAACACAATTGTTTCAATTTGCGACCATTTGGTGAATATTGTGCGGAAAGTGTGCTCCGGAATGAATAAAACAACAAAATCGAGATAAATGTGCTTTAAATGTGGTAATCGTTGACTTAATCTCAACACTTCCTCGTCAGTGATAATTAAAGTTCTGTTATTTACTGAACACTCACTTAATTCTAGTCTCAGATTCTGTACATTCTTTGAGCAATACTTGGCAATGGGTTCAAAGAAACTGTTGTTACATTTGGTGTACTTAAGAGTAATGCAAAACACATCGAAATTGTGATACTTCTTGAGAGCCATTGCAATGAATTCTCTATCTCTGGCTGGAGTTCTGTCGATCAAATGAAAGCAAACCATTTGAATGGTCGCCGCTTTGCTATTTAATACATTGAATCCATGGATGCGACTGTTGTTGAGCTCGTAATCAGAGATAATTAGACATCGAGTGCATCCAAACGAAAGTTCTAGCAATTGTTTCCATGTTTTGCAAACTTGTTGTGAATTTAATTTATTTTTAAAATCTAAGTAGTTATCGAATAAATATAATAAGCAATTCTGCGGT